AGATCTGAATAGATATTTCTCCAAAGAAGACATACAAACGGCCAACAGGTATATGAAAAGGTGCTGAACATCACTAATCAGGGAAATGCAAATCAAAACCACAATCAGATATTACTTCATACCTGCCGGGATGACTATTATCAAAAATATAAAGGAGAAGTATTGGCAAGGATGTGGAGAAAAGGGGACTCTTGTATACTGGGTTGGAAAGAGTATAAACTGGTGTAGCCACTATGGAAAACAATATGGAGGTTCTTTGAAAACTTAAAAATAGAATTACCACTTGATCCAGCAATCTCACTTTTGGGTATATAGCCAAAGGAATTGAAATCTGGATCTTGAAGAGGTATGTGCACTCCCATGTTCACTGCAGCATTATTCACAATAGGCAAGATATGGAAACAACCAAAATGTCTATCTATGGATGAATGGGTAAAGAAAATGTGGTATATCCATGCGATGAAATATTATTCAGCCGTGAAAAAGAAGGAAATCCTGCATTTTGCAACATGTTGGATGGACCTAAAGGACATGCTAAGTGAATTAAGCCAGACATAGAAAGACAAATACTGCATGATCTCACTTATATGTGAGATCTAAAATAGTCAAACTCATAGAAACAGAGAGTAGAATGGCGATTGCCAGGGGCTGAAGGGAGGGGAGGTGTTAGTCAAAGGGTACCAAGTTTCAGTTATGCAAAGTAAGTTCTGGAGATCTGTATACTACAGGGCTTATAATTAACAATACTGTATTATATACATAAAAATTTGATAAGAGGATAGATCTTATGTTAAATGCTCTTACCACAAAAGAAAAAATAAAAAAGGGGGTGGGAGGAAACTTTTGGAGGTGATAGTAAGTTTATGGCATTGATAGTGGTGATGGGTTTGATGGTTTCAAGGGTATAAACTTCTCTCTAAATGCATCAAGTTGTATATATTAAATATCTACAGTGTTTTTTACGTCAATCATACTTTAATGCAGCAGTTTTCTTAAAAAACAAAACATTGTCTCATGATGGAGAAACATGTAAGGGAAAATGGTGATTATTTGTTTCCTTTACTAGATTGCAAATTCCCTGAGGGTATAAATCATATTTTACACATCTTTGTATAATGCAAACAATGCTGGACTAGACAAGTGCTTAATAAGTACTTGCTGACCAGCAGATTGGATGAAGCAAAAGAAATATCACAGCGTAAGGGAAACAAGAACTTACCTCTGTCTGCCCTGGTTTCACAGTTGCATGACAAGCAATGACGAGTGAGCTATTAGGAAAGGGCCAGTGCTGGGATGCAGAGTACTGCAGACTTTGCACCTCCAATCCCACCTCTTCTGCAACTTCCCGCCGGACAGTCTCTTCCAGACTTTCACCTACAAGCACTCAGGTTAATTCAGGACAGCCCTGTAGCAGGAAGGGTACACAGATATCCCACATGTGAAAGGAGCCCAAAACTGGCTCCAAAGTTTCAATGAAACACTCTTGGCAGTGTCCTAAACCTCTGAGTCTTTGCAACAATAGGAATCAGGTCCAGAGTTGGATGCTGAACTGCAGTGCTTAAGCTTACTAGGTTAGTTATAATACAAAGCAAGGGTGGTGGTGGGAGAGACAACGGCTGCCCTCAGCTTTAACAAAACTCCACTTTTCACCACTTGCAAATTTTACCCCAAAAGACTGAAAAAAGAAAGCAACTTGTGAATAAATATTGAATTCTAGCTAATGTTATGTGTGTTGAATATTTAGGGAAAAGTGTACTAATTAGGGGCCGGGCACGGTGGCTAACACCTGTAATCCTAGCACTTTGGGAGTTCAAGGCAGGAGGATCGCTTGAGGTCAGGAGTTCTGAGACCACCCTGAGCAAGAGCAAGTCCCCCTTTCTACAAAAAATACAAAAATTAACTGGGCATAGTGGTGAGTGCCTGTAGTTCCAGCTACTTGGGAGGCTGAGGCAGAAGAATCGCTTGAGCCCAAAAGTGTGAGTTTGCAGTCAGCTATGATGACACCACTGCACTCTATCCCAGGCAACAGAGAGAGACCCTGTCCCCATTTAAAAAAAAAAAAATGTACTGATTAATGTCTGCAATCTATGCACCCCAAAATAAGATGGGGCTGGGCATGGTGATTCACGCCTGTAACCCTAGCACTGTGGGAGGCTGAGGCACGAGGATCACTTCAGGTCAGGAGTTCAAGACCAGCCCAAGCAAGAGCAAGACCCCGTCTCTACAAAAAATAGAAAAATTAGACAGACACAATGGCATGCGCCTATAGTTCCAGCTACTCTAGAGGCTGAGGCAGGAGGATTGCTTGAGTCCAGGAGTGTGAGGCTGCAGTGAGCTATGATCACACCACTCTACTCTATCCTAGACACCGGACAACAGAGCAAGACTCTGTCTCAAAAAAAAAAAAGATGGATTGATGGATGGATAGATGAACAGATATGTGATAAAGTAAATGTAGTAGAAAAATTATAGAATCTAGGGGTGTGCTCAGAGCAGGGGGCCTGAAGAATGGCTCCTCTGTTTATAACACACCCAACAGGAATCTGGGGTCACTGTGATGAGGGACACAAAACTTGTGGTCTCCCTATACACAACTGCCCTACATGTGAAGAAGAAAAAAATTATAGAATCTAGGTGGTTGGTGTATGGGTGATCACTGTATAATTCTTTCAACTATGCTGGATGTTTGAAAAATTGCCTAATAAAATATTAGAAAATCATAATGCCAGAAGGCAGTTTTCTTGACATGATAGGGAAGAATGTGCTTGAGATTCAAAGCACTATGGCAATAAGACAGAGAAATAGCTACCAATAGTAAGATTTTATATCCTCCAATGTTACTTGTAAGTTCCCCAAATTCCTTACCTATATCACAAAAACCTGCCAAGGCAGAATACATTCCCTTGGGAAAGGAGCTCTGGCGGGCAAGCAGGCATCGGGTCCCATCTGACACCAGCGTGATCACCACAGGAGCCACCTAGGAAAGGAGGCTGGAAACTGAGATGCTGGCACTTTGGGGCCTGCTATTTAGCTAAGGAATAGATAATTAAGGAAAGCCTTCCCCAGGACAGAGTAGTTAGTGAACAGTCCTCTCAGATTGCCGTCCTCTTAAAGCAATACTTACCTGTGGGTAATAGATGATATTATTGGAAGGGCACACACGCTTGCTGCCAGCCATGTTCTTCTTGGTGGGCTGCCCACTTCTGCTGCAGAACTGATGTGTATGATGCCAGTGGAGAAGAGCCTGAGCCTAGGAATACAAAGACGGGCCTGGTTTCGTTAGAGAGAATGCAGGCTCACCTTTACCGGCACTGGCCTTGTACCTAGAGCAACTCACAGGGAAATGACAATCCCTTTCCAGCTCACCTACTCTAAATGGTTACTAACTTTAAAATAAGGAAACTATGTGAACATGTTCCTCTAGCATCTGAATAAAAGAAAGCATATTTTGAAATATACTATGAATTATTTGAAACATATAAAATATATAAACACCCATGTACTCACTACCCAGCTTAAAAAGAAAACATTTCCAATATAGTTGAACGCCCCCACATGTACTCCTCCCCAATAAAGATGAAATTTTTTTTTTTTTGCAACTAAAAACATTCAGAGATTTGATTTCTTTTTGGTTTCTTTTTTTCATGGACACTTCTAATACCATAAGAGGTTTCTTTTT